TAAGGTAGGTCATCGAAAGAACAACATCTGCCAAATCATCCAAAGATGTATCTTCTACATAGGTCTGAAGTGAAGTGATACCATACTTGCCTGGAAACTGAACTTTTTTTTTAAAACAGGTAAAGAAAGCTTATAGTAGCTTATTCTCATCGGTGCTATTAGTGTCAAGTAACCTCTGCCCTTGTAAATCCATTGATGCCAGAGGTTTCTGCAGATCTTTCTAAATGAGTGTAGAGTTCAGCATAGTGGCTAAATGGGCAGACTCAAAGGATGCTGGTGTACAGTTCTTGGATACTGCTATTGTTTTCTCTATTAGAAAGTCCAGGAGTTTTCTAATGCTATTATTTGGAAAATGCATTTTGGAAGAAAGCCAAAGGACTGCTCCCCTACTGGCTCTTGGGAAGACCGGTACTACAGTAGAAATCAATAGAACTCAATGAAAACAAAGGAAACCAAATGAAGATTTCTGTTAGTGACTGTACGACCTCTAAGAGTACACATTTTCTGCTATAGGAGCTTGGTTTTACTGTTCCATGACGCTTAAATTGAACACCACTGTTACAGGGATTACAACAAAGAAAAGCTTATGAAAAGAAATGTAAAAGAGAATACAAAAAACCTGATATGAAAACTGCAACAATAAGAAGGAAACGAATAAGCAGAACTCAGACAGTAAACTGACCAGGAAAGTGGGTAGAGTCTCATGACCAGATGTGAACACCAGGGTGGATCCTTTGGAACAAAAAGGGAGACTGACCTGTTATAAAACCTTACTTTCAAGAGAATAAAAGAGCATAGGTTCCTTAATGTTTATTTGAAAAGCATTTTTCCTGAGGCAGGAGCAGCTGGATGCTTTTTGTTAATAAAGCAAAAATAGAATTCCCTAGCAGTATGTATACTTTTACCTGTATCCCTTTTGCAAGGGTCATATGAAATCACTGTGAAATTATTACTTGCTCTTCTGATTTTGATGTTTTGCTGAAGTTCAGAAAATGGCTGCCAGCCTAAACTGTGAACAGCTTTAAATCACTTCTATCCAGGTGATGATAAATGACCTCTAGATTTTATCTGTAAAGTGGAAAAAATAAACAAGAATACATTACTCAACCCCTAAGATTTTTTAGAAGCTGAAATTCATCTAAAGGAACACTTCAGTCCTGTCTACCACCCACTGAAGTGATTAGGAATTTCAGCTAAATAAAGAATGAAGGTGAGACTGAAATGCCCATGTAATCAACTTTCACAAAAAATCTAATACAAAGTTAAAACTCTTTTGAGATAAGTGCAAACATGAGAGCACTGAAGTAACATCGAAAGAAATGAAGGAGGCTTTGTAAAATTCCCAACTTGTGCTTTCCACAAAGTGTAATTCAAAACTGATTAAAAGTATTAAATCGTTTTTATGGAAAGGGTTAATACTAAAATTCAAATAGTGGTATGGTGTCCCATGGATACTCAATAATGAAAATTCAAATGCTCATTTCTTTAAGCCATTTGTGTCCCTTTTCTAGATAATTGTTTTTTTTGCCTAATTTTTGAGGCTATTTAATAACACCTCCTGCTAGACATCTCATGTAAACTCAGCAAGAGGAGGCATCTTGAGTAATAGAAAAGACTTCTGCTCATTTTAAAGCTCAAATTCATACTTTTCTTAACAAAGGAGATCCCCACTGTTAGAGTTTGGCAACTGCCGGGACAACTGCATTGGGGAAGATTGGATTAGGGGGGCAGCTGACTGTGCAGTAAAGTCTCCACTCTCCAGCAGGATTTTTATGTAAATTCCACTACAATTCATGCTTTTTGGAGATAATGAAATGGATACAAAACACTCCAAGTTTTCCAAGTCAGCCAAATAATGAACAGGGGCATTCAGAAAGCTGGTTTGATACATTTTTACTTTTGGACCCTTTTATGAATAGGACTGACATTTGTGCAATGTATCACATAGAATTTGCTTTTAATACCACTGTCTAAAACCCATGGCTTTTCAGGCTATTAGTGATGTGTGAACATCAGCTATCAAGAGTTGTTCTCAGTTTAAGCTCTAATAAGCTGTATAATTTTCCATGTGTTTGCCTGAAGGCAACTTTTACCAAAGAATCAGCCAAATATTTTTACAAAAAAAGAATATTTTCAAGTCAACAGCTTTGAACAACTGTCTGTGAATATGTCACAGCACTTGTTATCAATAAGCTTCAAATAAGAAGAGCCTGGGGTCAAGAGGGGACATTACCATGATCTTCTACGCTGTTCTCCTGCATAACGTATAGAATTTCATTGAATCCTGGAATGGTTAGAGTTGGTGTTTGCTCGGATCATAGTGTGTTTGAACTGGAACCTGGATGTCTTGATATTTCTTTAAATTTGTATGTTTACTGATTACAAAATTAAAATGTGTATATTTTTGTGAAAGTGAACATAACATGCACAAGCACACACAAAGCATCTTTACACCAGAAATACACTCACAATATTGAGTTCCGCTTCCAATATAGCTGATATGAGATCCTCTGGTGCAAAAGATGCAGTGAGAATGCTTCCACTACATGAAAATACCCATTCCATCAGGTTTATCAATTAACTTAAATAGTAGAAAGACAAAAGACATCACGAGAGAGCCAATGTGGAACATAATACATACATACTACTTAAGAGTTATGCAAGGCCTTTCTCAATACTTCTGGGTTTTTCTGCGAGTTAATTTTAGTATTAACCTGTTATTAGTGATAGGTTCACAGTGCTCAACAGGAATATCTATTCAGTAGCAACATTCAAGGCAAAACTGTACTGCTGGCATTGGTAGTACTCCGTGGTTTTATTCATTACTTCCCTATTGATATAAATTCATCTCTAAGGGTAAAGGGGAAAATGCCTACTTTTAGGAGCTGAAAGAAGGAAATTATTGCAATTATCTAAACTACACATGTAAAAAGGTTAGCAAATTCAGAAATTATAAAATACCAGGGCCATTTATGCCTAAATTAGTAAGCTTCCTATGACCTTTTGGTGTAAGTAAGTTTTCTTTCAAACAAGCATCTATTTATTTAAATAAAAAGGAATATTCACATTAAAGTTTCTCAACACATATAATCAAAGTAGAAACCAGTATTCCAAAGATCTTTCAAAAAACAAATCAACCCAGATCTGAACCACAATAGAGTTTGTGTAATGTGAACATCTAGCTATTGAGGTTCATTATGATGATCAATGAGGTTAAAAGGTGAATTTATGAATTAAAGTTTACAAGTTCTGTTGTTTAATGAAAAACGTTGAGAAGCTGCAGAGAGTAAAATCTGAGAAACAGCTATTCTTGTTTAGACCAAAAGATCACACTGGACATATTGTATCATTTAAGAGTAAACGTAATAGGCTTTTCTGAAACAAACAAAAGAACTAACAAGTTATAAACAAATGTGATTTGTGGGGGTTTTGTGGTTCCAAGTTGTTCACTTGATTATAATCACATACCTTGCTTTTTCTAGGGAAACATTTTGCCCAGTACAGTAACTTCAGGAATAAAAAAGAATGTGAGAAGCAACACAGAGAGAAAACGTGTTAAGATCCAGCTCTGTCTGCATTACACTAAGCAGCAAGTAATCTGGAAAGTGCAATTAAGCTAACTAACCACTCAGTGGACTAGATTTGACTACCTATACCCATGCACACTAATATACTAACCATCAGTTAGTCCTCCTGAGCTACGCACTGAACATCATTACACAGTGAGCAGTTAGTAATGTGAATATTCCCACTGATTTCAATATAATTATTGAGAAGAAAGAAGCATCTCAGGATGGGTAAAGTTGGTATCAAAATCAATCTCAACAGGAATAAGGGTAGCAGAATCAAATCTTCTAGGCACAGCCAGTTCACTTAATGCTATAGTCAAACACAGTGAAGAGCATTCATGTCTGCTAGACTGAAAACTGGGATGGAAAAAAGCTTCTAATTAAGAATGATAGAAGAGGGATCAAAAATCTTACTTCTACCTTCTAGAAGAAAGAAGAATATACCCAAGATAGAGCAGAATCAAAAGAACAATAAAAAATCCACTCTTTTTTTCCTGTGTTTATGAAATGAACAGAGTTGAGTTGCTCTTTGTCACAGAGATACAACACTGTCTTCAGGTGGTCGTTGTTTCCATGCCACCTTTGAAACACACAAAACTGTCAATGTGCTCCTCAAATATTCTGTTGTTTTCTTTCAATGACTGATTTATACCATTTTACAGCAAGGAATGTGCCACATCCATTAAACATTAACTCTGAGGTATAGTTTTCTAAATCACAGCTATCTGCTTTGTAGTCTTGTGCTTGACTTGTGTTTCAGAAAAAGAAAAAATGTATTTTTCTGTACTGTCAATTACTTATTCAGCTCTGGGCTCTACTGAAATCTCCTGAACAATGGGGAAACATCTTTTTGTTTGTTTTTTAAAATACCTGCATTTGCTTGAAATACACAATGAGGGACAGTATAAATACGATAGAATCATTTGGTAAGACTTGAACTGAGACCACATCACAAAATATCCTCTTAGGCCAGCTCATGAGGGCTGCTGGAAGAATTCCCTCCAAAGAAAAAACCCTACAAAGGCCTTACATGGAAAGATGTGAGAAACTCTGAGAAACTAGAATTTTTCTTTAAACTTGAGAAGAATAGACCTAGTGGTTTTGACAGAGAGAGAGATGTTTCCACTGGACAGTTGGTCTCCAGCTGGCCCATCACATTCATTGTTACTGCTGCCTCTGACGCCTTCTGTGAATACAATTTACTAAATCACTTCAGCACATATTTAAAATTATGCACAAGAATAATCCCAGTAAGTGAATGGAACTATTTATGTGTTTAAAATTAGAAACAAATATAAGGCAGGATGAAGCACATAATCCTCTCAACATGATATTTTCAAGTTGTACTTGAAGCTTGGTGAGCGAAAACACATACAGCCACAAAACTATTCGGAACACCTTACCAATCTTGTCTCTGTGACACTCATTTCAAGCTATCAGACCCTAGGTCCGTGGGAGAGATGACTTTGCAGCATGCTGGAGGCGTAAACCTCCTTGAGCACTTTTTGCTGTCTATGCAGCAGAATCTGCTCAGAGAAATGTATGTCTTAGGGAAAGGATTTGGAAATAATGCTATCTACAGCATTCTTAAATTTATGGAATTAAGTAATCAAAAATTTTTTATAGAACATCAGTAGTTTTCTTCATTGTAATCTAAGTAAAACCTGCCAGCTGCCATCTAGTTATGTTGGACTCCCCTCTAAACCATCCAGCACCTTAAGCATGGTAAAAACCCCTTGTGCCCAAACAGAGCACTCTGGAATTCATTTAGGGACCCTGTGAAGCCCCAAACCATAACTGTGTCTAGCATATACAGTTTATAGTCAATTTTTTAATCTATGGTAGTTATTACGTTTCAAATATAAAGAAGAAGTCTGCACTAAATAATGCGAAATAGAAGACAAAGCAACCCCATCTTAACATACGCAGTAGACAGTAAAAGCATCCCTGTACATGCACATGAGGAAATTAACAGCATTCCCCATGTTCATTCAAAGCAGTGAACATGCTGTGCTGGATGCACATATGCATTAGAGAAACAAAATTGCTTTAAATAATCAAAATACACAAAGGAACATTTTTCTGTGTGGCTGGAAATAACCCTGACAAATGTTAATGTTTTGCAAATGAAAAACATTCTTTAAGAAACAACAGAAACAGCAAATATTCAAATGCATACAAAGTAAGCTCCTATATTAACCTCTGCTGTACAATGTGGATGTCTACAAAAATCATTGTGTGATGAGCAAGTACATTCAAACTTTTTTTCCTGGATTATGAATGTATTTGACAAGACCCAGAGAAGGTCAACAGCGTGATTAAAGATATGAAGAAGCTTCCATATGGTGAGATACTAAAGAGTGGACCACCTAAGTTTAGAAAGGAGAAAGGTAGCAGCAGATGTTACTGATGTATCAATTAATGAATGACAAGAAAAGACCTCTGAATTCTTCCCTGTGTATATCAACAGACAAAAGAATTTCATCCAAATTAAGAAATAGGGTTTTTAGTGTTCCTGCTATTTTGTTATTCAGCATATAATTAATCAGTGAAACTCATTGCCACAGTAAAATACTGCGATAAATTGTCCGAAAACAGGATTAGTAACACATGGCTAAGGCCAACATACTGGTTAAAAACTGGACAGGACTATATACAACTTATGATTCTTGGGCTACCAGTTTTGATGGCACAGAACATAATTCTAGCAGCTGTAAAGCCAGAAAAAAGCCTTGCACTGTCAGTTCTGGGGTAGGGGAGAAAAAGATACATACAGTCTTTTGTCATTGTCTCAGAAAGGTACAAAGCATCACATGAGGGCTAATTTTGCTATGACAATTTCTACATTTTATTTGCCTGCAAGCCATTTTTTCTAATTGAGAATAGTGACAATATATAATAAGTAAATAAAAAATGAAATTGAAAAGCAAGATTGAGTTGTAACTGGTGTCTACAATAAATGAAGCTCAAATCCTGCTGTTATGTTTCTGACAACTTTAATAATCATAGATCATCTTGTTTTAGTTGCACACAGAGAGTGGGCTACAAGGTATGTCACCCTCAAGAATGACTAAGATGTTATGTTTATCATTTAAGAGGCAGAACTATCTGAATTCTGCTTGATAACCACCGGTAGTGCAAATTACCCTGACAGGACTGTGTGTTCTTTCTATACCTTGCTTAGAGGCCAGGATTGCTTATTCCCAATGTATTAATAAGTAAGTGCAAGTATTTCAACAATCAGCTTTTTAGAATTTGCATGCAAACTCTCATGCTGTGTAATTATACACAGTGCTGGCACTCAAATTAATTAAAGCTGATTTCTCTGTGACTGCAAACTGGTCATATCCCCAGACTTGCTCTAGTATGAAGTCATCACCCTATATTCAACATGACACTTTATGTCCCTAGCATTCTTAGCAATGCTAATATGAAACAACTGTAAATTAGGCAGTATTTTAGAGAGCAGCTGACAACCGCTGGTTAGTTGTTGAGTTCCCTCCCCTCGACACTTTCCACATAAAAGTAAGAAACCAGTTATTTCCATTGTGCTTGCTTTGTAATTATCTCGACTAACAATGTAAACAAATTACATACATTGTTTCAACAGATACTCACCCATGTTTGATTAGGGGTTACACAAAACTTATAAAACACAAAACCCAAAACCAACATCAACAGTGTTTGTTTGATGCTAACATACAATTAGTCTCTTACAATTTCAGTGTTAATTTAGAAACTCCTTCTCTTTCTCTTTTTCCCTGTAATGGCTCTTTATTTTTAAAAGGCACGCTCTTGCCGACCAAGAATAGGGAATGGGGGAGGCAAAGCAGAAGAGCTGACAGTTAGATTTCAGGAATCCTCATCAAATAGAGTGGAACTGTAGCAGAGACTGTTCTTTGCAGCACAGATCCATAAATGCTGACTTCTGGGGCAGTGCTGAGTTCCAGCCTTTTTCATTATAAAGTCATCTGCTCTGATTTTATAATTGAGCTGAAAGAAGTGACTTTTTAATACTTTTTTTTTTTTTTTTTTAGCAGAGGTCTCCTCTGAGAAATTAAAATGTTATAGAGATCTTTTATCTCACAAACATATCTGCAATAGGAGCATTCTCCTATATTCATCACAAACAGAAACAATATAATCAAGCCCACTGGTATTTTGCAGTGCTAAATCCATATCAAGGGACACCAGCAATTTTTAAAAATGATCTAACTCTCCCACTACACCAGAAAGCGCACTCCCAAGTAGGATCAGATCTTATCTCCACCTGACCCTAGGAAAACACAGAGTCAATTCCTTCAAAATATGACAAAAGAGAAGTGCACAGTGGATATCCTGATAAAGTAGCTGATGTCCAAATAAGGGCAATGAAAAAGAAATTTCCCCCCATTAGTGATACTGCGATCACTTAGTTCTTTGCAGCATTGCATTTAGTGATTATTTGTGTCCTTGTAAACAATTTAGAGGAAAGGTATTGTCCTTTATAATTACTTTTAATGTGAGGTGCTGGAAGGCAGATGCAGGGACTGTGAGAATGATGACCCTAGGCCCACTGTAGGAAAGGATCTGGTTTGAGACCATCTTAAAAACTCGAACATACACAAGTTCATGGGACCTGAAGTAATCCATCCGTGGGTCCTGAAGCAAATGAAGTTGCTAAGCCACCATCCATCATATTTGAGAAATCATGGCAGTCAGGTGAAGTTCCCAATGACTGGAAAAAGGGAAATATAACCCCCATTTTCAAGAAGGGGAAAATGGATGACCCGGGGAATTACAGACCAGTGAGTCTCACCTCTGTGCCTGCCAAAATCTTGGAGCAGATTCTCCTGGAAGGCATGCTAAGGCACATGAAAATCAACAAGGTGCTTGGTGACAGCCAGCATGGCTTCATTAAGGGGAAATCCTGCCTGACCAATTTGGTGGCCTTCTATGATGGGGCTAAAGAACTGATGGACAGGGGTAGAGTAGTTGATGTCATCTACCTGGACTTGTGCAAAGTGTTCGACACTGTCCCACACAACATTGATGATCTTAAGGTCCTTTCCAACCCTAAGTATTCTATGATTCTATGATTCTAAAAGTCTATAACACAACACAATTATTTCTGTAAAGCACAAGGTCTAACTTCCACAGGTAGTTCTTGTTTGCCAGAAACAGTTATCCTGATATACATGGAAAACATTGGTTCAGAAGGAGGACTTCAGTATGTTAACAGCATTGAGGAGAGCAAATCCCACTTTCTTAGCTTGAATTGAACACCATTTTGTCTCTTATGCTCATGTTTTCAGTGTTGAGCATGTTATTCTGCTTGATTTGGGGTCCATTTCCATCACTTATAAAAAAATATAAATCAGAACAAGACATGTCAGCTCAAATTGCTTGGACATGCTAAAAGCATGGAAATGCTTGAAAGACCTATTTTGGGTTAACAGAAACCAAAGACGTCAGAAAAATAGGGCGATAGACTTGGCAAATATTTGCAGAATCATCTGAGCTTCAGCAATCAGAATATTTAGAATGCATTTGATAATGTTTTAGAACTTAGAAATGGCCATATATTTTGTAAGTCTCTATTAAATTCAAGAAACACTGAAACTAGGCAAAGGCAAAACTATCTTGAGGTCATATCTTTCTAAATGTTGACTTTTTTTCAAATGCTACTGTATATTCACATACTTCTGTTTTCTACTTGGATGTGCTAGGCCCAAAGACTTGTCTCTATTGACAATCTGAGTATCACCCTTACCAGCATTGCTGCAGTTCAGATAGTACTATAAACAAACATTCTTTTGTGGAGTTTCATGTCCATTATAGCATGGCAATAGCAGTTTTTGAGCCATGTCTGCAGTCTGAGCTATACAGGCTTAAGTACCAATATTGCTGGTACTCCAATTGAGAGAGTAAACCTTTTTAAACAAGCAGCTGGAATTTGCTCCCAATGAAGGCATAAATCAATACAAAAAAGTGATAGAGGAAAGTGAATTATTGTGTAACCTTCCTTCTTCAACATTGGCAATATCATTCTTAGTGCTTTTGGACATTCAGTTTTATGGTAATGGCTATAAATGCTTTAATCTCCATTAAATATCTCAGAAGATGAGCTTTAGTGGCAGAATAAGAACAGGATTTTGATCACAAAATCCTTCCTGGGATATTACTGCTTCCTCAAAAATGCCAGTGAATGTACATTCTTATTCTACTAATCCTTACCAGGTCTTCCTTCACAAACCTCCATCAGCAGGATCACTTCAGGGTGGATCCTCAGATTAGCACACACCTCATTCTTAGCCAGGTGCAACTGCATGAGTTAGAATAAACGGGAATGAGACTAGAGGTCAGTCGCTGGTGCCTAGACCTCTTCCTAAACCATTGCACAGGCTGTGCATACAGAGGGAAATGACAAATGCAACTCAACAAAACGTGCCTTCAGTATAAGGAGCTCTTCTATTTTGATGTCTGGAAGACCTCTTGTAAATACTAAGATAAGGTGAGATATAAGATAAGATAGAATGAGCTGTGT